GCCCGGGTAAACAGAATGGAAATGCTGATGGGTTGTCAAGACAAACTGACCTAGAGAAATGATCCGTGAGCCTCCCCGGACATCCCCAAGCCGATCCGTGTTGGATCAGACTGTGTATGCCGGCTTGTGGGCAAGGGGGAGCAGTGTAGCGGATGGCACCAGGCTGTCCTGTAAATGTATTGTACATAACTGCATTCGTGTGATCTGCTGTGTTATATGTTTTTTTAAAAGATTTGTATTCCTCTGATTGTTCGGTATTTTCATTCCCTTAGTTCATTTGAATGAAACTACCGAACAACCAGACCTCCCCTGTGTGAAGTGTGTCCTCAATTACCCGTTGCAACATTGTTGCGAACGGGTAATTGACTAGTAAGTAGCCGTCCTTTGTTCTCCGGGGTGGCCGCCATTCGACAAACGAACACCTGGCGGCAGCCATTTTAAAACTCCCGAACAGCGGTGTTTTGCCGTCGAGTGTCTGGAACTAAAATCGGACACTCGAGTAGGCGAACACCGCTGAGACCTCCACAAGCCTGGTCCGTTCGTGTAATACTTATTTTAATTGGAACTCAACTGCAGAATTTTCTAATTGCAGTAACTATTAGTTTCACCTCCTGTTATACTGATGTGGAGGAGAGGTTACTGTAGCTTTAAATACTCAAGCAGGATGTTAATTGTGAGTAAAGAATAAGCCAATGAAGATCTGCACAAGCCAAATAGTTCCAATTTAGGAATAATGCAGAAAAATATGCAGAGTTAGTTTTAGCTTAATTCAGATGGAATAATTGCAAGCAAGATTATTGATGAGGAAATACAGAATTGCAGTTAGGAATAATTTGATTATTGGAGGAAGAATTTAGCCTTAAAAGCAGTTCCTTATGTATAAGAGAGAATAACTTGAGAGAATGCCACAGTAATGAGCCTTCAGATACAGTCTATTATTAGTAACAGAGAGTAGCTTGATTGTAGAAACAATTACTTAACTTAAGAGGCAGTTCTGGAACTGTAGGGGTTAACTACATCCAGTGGAAGTGGAGAGGGGTAGAAGTCCATTTAGCAAGCCGAGGTCAAGGAGTGGAGAAGGTAGAAGTCCGTTTTAGCAAGCCGAGGTCATGGAGTGGAGAAGGTAGAAGTCCGTTTTAGCAAGCCGAGGTCTAAGAGTGGAGAAGGTAGAAGTCCGTTTTAGCAAGCCGAGGTCTAAGAGTGGAGAAGGTAGTAGCCGTCCCATAACGATACTCGATACAGGCAGGATCAAGGTAGAGCAGCTGATAAGTTTGCAGGCACCTGTGCAATAATCGAGCCCTTTGAATCTGGCGCGGTCTTCCTAAGTAGCGTGTAAGGACCGCGTCAGAAAAAAGGGGCGGGGCTAAGCTCAGTGAACCCGGAAGTGGGTTCCTACGGCGAAATGCATGTCAGGCTATACCTGACAGTTCGGTTCCTAACTACCGAACGGCCCCTCATTCAGTAGATCAAAAGAACCGAACGAGGGGATTCAGGCGAACCCTCCCTAGCCTCTATAGCTAGAGGCTTTCGTGTATTTTGTTCCCTTATGCCAGGACCGACCGCAGGGCCCATTCGCATGGAACCTCATTCGGCTGTCTCAGTTAGTGCGGTCAGTCATTTTATTCCCTCCATACATTTCCTGAACCCCTGGTCTGATCTAGGTGATTTTTGGATATGTTGTTCACCCAGATCAGGGCTATCCAGGGATGTAGGATTTAAAGAGGTACTACGTTTAGGGGTACATCCAGAAACGGGAGGAATTACTGTACTGGATAAGGGGATTATGATGCTGGCTGAGGGGAGGAGATGTGTGGGAGGTTACCAGGACAGGATTGGCTACTGTATTAATGATTGTAAATCCCTCCCTTGCATGGGAGCATGCTTTAAAAGGAGACTGTGGATTAAAGCTTTCAGTTCTGCTCCTGAAACTGTGTGTCTCCAGTTATTGGGATTGCTGTTGGGATATTGCTGTTATTTTACCTGCCGGAAACCTTGCCTATGGATTTACTATTTACTTGTTCCTGAGCCTCACTTGGATTATAAGCGGAGATAACCTGGGGAATATTGCATCTCCGCTATAATCACTAATAAAAATGGGTGTGGCACTGACACTCTGCATGGAGGCGCTTAACTTTCCTCATAGAGATGCATAGATTCAATGCATCTTAATGAGGATATACTGATTGGAGCAGTATGGCGTGTTGCAGAGCATGCACATTAGCCTCCCAATGGGAAAACATTGGACTGGCTAAGATGATCAATTCTGATAATCTTACTCAAGGAGGTGGAGCTAGCGCTGGCAGACCTGCTCAGCGATGTAATAAAAGTATGTTTTTACTCTATTTAAGGGAGACAAGGAAGTAGGGGGGACCTACCTAGTACTTTTAACACTATACGGTCAGGAATAAGCATTTGTATTCCTGACTCTCTAGTGTTCCTTTAAAAATGTACTTTTGATTTGTTTGCATTTGTGTATTTAAACATTTTTTTTTCATGCAGACTGAGTCACAGCCAGGTGAGGTGTGGCCAGTGTTTTGTTAAGAGGAACAAAATGATTTAACTCATAAATGGCAGAGAATTAGACAGGGAGACTGCAGGAGCATGATCTATACCCCAAAACTGCTTCAATAAGCTAAAGTTGTTTTGATGCCTGTAGTATCCTTTTTACTTCCTTGTAAAAGGAAACTGTCAAATATAGGACCCCCCCCCCAAAAAAAAAGTGAATATAGAGAATGATGCACAACAGTGTAAAAGTCAAGCTAAGTTTATTAGGCTCAGAATCACGTGAGCGCATCCATTTATAGTTTTATGGACATAGCACCTGTACAGAATTATGCTATGAGATGTCGTGTCTGCACATGGCATATAAAATATAACAGAAGAGGTTCAGGACTAGCCCTATTAGTCATATTGCATCTTCCACCTGAGTGTTTAGATATGCTCCACCTTTGTGAGTAGGGTTGTAACTAGTTCTAGCCATTCTGATACCTTGTACACTCTATTCTCTCCATTTTTTTCTCTTTTTGTACTCTATTAGTATTGGTTCAAGTTTTGTTTGCTACACCTATTTTATATGAATTTTATTTGGTCTCACTAAGCTACCTGGGTTGTCCTTTCTGGATTTATTCACCTTTGACTTTGGTTTGGTTTGGATTTTTAATATATACTTCAGAAATTTGGGTTCCCTCCTGACACAAGCCCACAGAAATATCAGTTTTATTTTAATAATAATATATACACTGGTCAGCCACAACATTAAAACCAACCAGCTAATATTGTGTAGGTGCCGCTCGTGTGATCGGATCAGATGGGCTAGCCTTTGCTTCCCTTGTGCACCAATGACCCTTAAAGGAGCTTTATAGATAAAAACTTCATATCCTTGGTTAGTAAACCTACTGTCAGTAATTGCTTTTTAACCCTATATAGTGTAAAAATGTGCAACCATTTACTACTACGTCTCTGGTTCTTGGTTTAATTATGTTTAAAATAATCCTCAGATGTATGACACTTTATCACCTTTTAAAATCTTTACTTTTATCAGATTTTCTGCTCTGATCACATGCCATTTCCCTCTTTGCTTTTTTCCTACTTCCTGTATTTCAGCCAGATTGTCCACCAATGGCTAAGCTCCAGTGATTCTCTATGAGAATCAGTAATGACATGTCTATGTGGGCATGCCAGAGGTTTGTGATGCAATTTGCATAACTCAACACATGCCCACAATGCCGGCCCAAGAACTACTCAGCCTTACAATCAAAGTTACACTGCAAATACAGTATTCAGACACTAGAACTTACATACCACATCACACACACACAAACATTTCCTTACCACCTTAGATATCATATAGTGTCAAATGTTTATTATAAAAAAATATAAAGAGACAGACAAACTTGATAATACCTATACGGCCTGGTATTATCTCTCTCTTTCTCTCTATAGCTCTATCTATCTACATCTCTCCTTCTGAACCTATATCACTATCTGTAGAAAGGCCATTAGGCCTGAATTTGTAGGAGGAGTAAGTCCCCCACTTAAACTCCCAGCCCCTACTCACCTCTGCTGTTCAAGTTGATTGCTAGCTGTCTATCTCCATAGCAACCAGCACTTCCAGTCCGAGCTTCCCGCCAAACAGCTCCAGTCTCCAGCAGTAGAGGTGTCCAACTAAATCCTCCGTCCGTTCTGCAGCCCTGCCACCCGGCTTCTCTCCGGTTGCGGTATCTGGCTTCGGGTCACGAGACCGGCACGCTCACGTAAGCTTGTGAGGGAAATAGCTTTCGGCTATTTCCCTCCGTTCGGGCCTAAAAACTTAGGGGTAGGCTCTTTTTTTACTGATACATTACCTGTGTATACTTCCCCATTCGTTCATTTAGCAGTTCGTGCAATTTTCTGTTTGTCTAAAAAATCTGTTCCCTTGCATACTTACCCGTTCGTGCACTTCTGCTGTTTGTGGAATCAGTCGAATGCAGACGATACTTAAGCTTCAGTGGGTCCCCCATGCGGTCTAAACTGCCGACCCCTGTTCGTGCAATTATCAGCTTTCTTCGTACGGACTTAACAAACATATATATATATATATATATATATATATACTTACCCGTTCGGTTACTTAGCTGCTTGTATTAAATCTGTAAAGTACCTTTACAACAAATCAAGGTATAGTACTCTACTCATTTCGGGGCTCTCACACTAGACCTGACGTGGTCTCTACTTATCACGATTATCACACTGTCCTACATCCTTTTTGTGTTTAAATTCTCTACATTTTTACTTAGGCATACGTTCATACTGCCATCAGGCAGGAACCTACTCAACCTACTTAACCTGGTAGGTATTTGCATTCTTACGCGTTACTATCACTTGCTACCCCTAAGGCCTCAATCAGCCTCCCTCTATAGCATAAACTCGTCCCAGTCTCGGATTAATCATTCAGATCCCTCAGCTCAGGATCTCACGTTGCGCTCCTAAAGCCACCCCAAATTCTAGACTGTGCTATTTGTCATCACTACCTTCCTGCGTGGGAGTGGGTCTTTTGCGCGCCCGCTGCCTTCCTTGCATGTGGTAGCTGTTTCTCAGGCTCCCTCTCCGGAATCAAACAATGATTCCCGTTACCCATCGTCACCATGGTAGGCACAGTAAATGGCATCGAAAGTTGATATGCATGACATACGAATGCGCTCCTAAAGCCACCCCAAATTCTAGACTGTGCTATTTGTCATCACTACCCTCCCGCGTCGGGAGTGGGTCTTTTGCACGCCCGCTGCCTTCCTTGCATGTGGTAGCTGTTTCTCAGGCTCCCTCTCCGGAATCAAACAATGATTCCCGTTACCCATCGTCACCATGGTAGGCACAGTAAATGGCATCGAAAGTTGATATGCATGACATACGAATGCATCGTCGCCTTGTCGTTGGGTAGCCCATTGAAAAAGTGCTCTAGCATGACGAGCTGGGTGATCTCCTCCGGGAACTTGGCTTGATGGGAGTTGAGCCAGTTCTGGGTGGCCCTTGTGATGCGGCATGCCCACTTTCCATGGGAGTCCTTCTCCCCTTTCCGGGTCTCCCTAAACCTTCGGCGGTATTGCTCAGGGGTGACCGCATACCGGGCCAGGAGGATTTGGGTAATAAAGGGATAGTCTCTGATCTGCTCTTCTGGTACAGCCCGGTAATATCCGCTGTCTTCCTCACTAGTTTGCTGGCAAGGATGGTGATCCAGTCGCTGGGGTCCACGTCTTGGAGTAGGCATTGGCGCTCAAAGTCTTGTAAAAAGTAATCGATGCCTTCCTTGAACTCTTTGAAGGCATTGTATGGTAAACCCTGCGTGCCTGGTTGTCCTCCATGAGTGCAGCAGTCAATTCGGCCTTGTTACGCCCACCAGGCGTTATTCCTCTGGCTCCACACAAGTCCTGCAGTGTAGGTCACTTTAGAGCACTGTAGTCCATGGGTCTGTTGGCAGGGAAATGGGATCCTGCTGCTTGCCACCAATTGATGCGGGACCTGGCTAACCGATGGTTATCCCCTTTGATTAGAATAGGTCAGACCCATTTCCCCAGTAAACGGGTGGGACACAGTTCCAGGATAAAATGTTTGACAATCTTTATTTGGGTACACAGCTTTGTCTCCTGTTGCCTCCTCCTCCTACTCAGCTTCTTCCTCCTCCTCCTCTACCACCTCCTTATCCGGTCAGCGTAACACCTTCACCACCAACTTCAGCACAGCCAGGGGGAAACGTCAGCAGGCTGTTTTAAAACTCATATGTTTGGGGGAAAACCCCACACCGCACAGGAGCTGTGGACAGGCATGGAACAACAGACCGATGAGTGGTTGTTGCCACTGAGCCTCAAGCCCGGCCTGGTGGTGTGCGATAATGGGCGAAATCTTGTAGCAGCTCTGGGCCTAGCCGGTTTGCCGCACATCCCTTGCCTGGCACATGTGCTGAATTTGGTGGTGCAGAAATTCCTGAAAAACTACCCAGATATATCAGAGCTGCTGCAGAAAGTGCGGGCCATCTGTGCGCACATTTTGCGTCCTCACCCTGCTGCTGCTCACCTGTCTGCGCTGCAGCGCAATTTCGGCCTTCCTGCTCACCGCTTCGTGATACTGTGAGAGCAGCAGCAGGTGATAGTGGAGTTTCAACTGCAGCACGCACGGGTCAGTCACTCTGCGGAAAAGCGTTGTCTTTTTTTATGTCCCAATATTTTGGGGGCTACTCCAATTAAAAAAGATTTATATATGTAACGGCACCCCCAGGCATAAAAGGGGTTAAAAGCCATTTAGGAGATATTCCCCTTCCAGATATACAGGCAGCTACCAAAGACACCAAAAACAGCCGAATAGGAAAAACCATACGAATAGGTTTACACTCCTAGCAGTCGAACGGGAACAGCATACAATAAATCCCCCCCAAGAACGAGACAAGGCTCTGTGTTGAGGGTCAAAACAGGAACAGACAGAGCTGTGGGATTATTGTTCTTATATACACATTAGTACCACCCACAGGGTTTTGGAAAACAACCAATAAACACGTACAATACACTCAGACACTCCCACACAAAATCCTCCACTCTGCCTGTAATACAATTACCTTACACAATGGGTAATGCAATTATCACAGGCAGAGAAATACAGTTTTTCCACATTATTCATAACTTGAAAAGTATGCATCAGATTCACATAAAACTTACATTTTCAGAATCAGCATACTCCAAAAACATACGTCAAAATCATACAAATTGGTATTGGTTCAAAAGATAGATCGTAGTCCTTTGTGACCAAATGAAGCATGGCTTTTCTGCCCAAAACCAGTTCCACAGAGTATTCTATCCTGGAGATAATTGGAAGTAATCCAATTATCTCCAGGACAGAGGCAAAACTCCAGTGAACACATGGCAGCAAAAGACAGTAAAGTACATAAAATACCACACACATACAGTTCAATCTCCATGGAGCCAAAGTCTTTTATTACACGAATAGGCTCCATGGCATAGCTATCTGGGTTAAATGAGTTCATTCAGTAAATCCGAGAATCTACCGAATGCCAGGGCAGAAATACAGGAATAGACCTTTCTGCATAGGAAAATAAAGTATTTAAATGCCGGTCCATAGTCAAAAGGCAGCAGGCAGGTAACCAGGCTCCTCCAATGCACAGTCTCATCACAATATATATATATATATATATATATATATATATATATATTTATATACACAAACAGTGTTGGCTACCTCCTCCTCCTCCACCGCTGCTTCCACCTACACCGCCACGGTCACCGCCTCCTCAACCTATGGGTCACTTAGTATAAACTATGTACACAATAGCAGAGGCTTGTGAAGGCCTTTTCTCCATGCATCAGAACTGCAAGAAATGCACCGCAGGCTGCAAATGTTTCTTTTTTTATATGTCCCAATATTTTGGGGGCTACCCCAATTAAAAAAAAAAAAATTTAATAAAAACAAAACAAACAAATACAAAACAGTGTTGGCTTCCTCCTCCTCCACCGCTGCTTCCACCTACACCGCCACGGTCACCGCCTCCTCAACCTATGGGTCACTTAGTATAAACTATGTACACAATAGCAGAAGCTTGTGAAGGCCTTTTCTCCATGCATCAGGAGTTGAGCATAGTTTGAACAATGAAAGAGAATACCCTGCACTCCAACCCTCTCTCAAATGGATAATTCTGGTGATCCTCCTGACAGCCATGCTTTAGATTTTGATTTATGTTCTTCCAAAGCTAAAATCAAAGATTCCATCTAGTGCTATTTTATGGCTCAGCTGTATTTTACATTTTTATGTTATTTTAAGTAATTTCCCTTTCTACATTTGTTTGCAGAGCACTTGTCCTACTCTTACCCCCATTTTACTTCCTTTTGCAGCCCTCTAAACCTTTCCAGGACTTTTTTAGAGGCATTTTTGTGCCCAAAGGTTCGGGTCCCCATTGACTTCAATGGGGTTCGGGGTCAAGTTCAGGGTCAAGTTCGATCACGAACCCGAACTTTTTTTCAAAGTTCGGCCGAACACGCCGAACCTGAACATCCAGGTTTCCGCTCAACTCTACTTATCAGCTGTAATTTAAGCTTAAGCTTCCTGGTGTGTCCCTATAAACCCATTCACAATCTGTCCTTATTTGCACCACTTTTGGTAGGTACTAACCACTGCATACCACAAGTCCACAAGACTTGCTGTTTTGGAGATGCTCTAACCCCTTTGTCTAATCATCACTTTTTGGCTCTTGTCAAAGTCACTCTGATCTTTTTGCATGCCATTTGTCCCGGCTTCCTACACATGAAATTAAAGAACTGACTGTTCACTAGTTGCCTTAATAAGTCTGACCCCTTTACAGGTGCAATTGTAATGATATAATCAATGTTATGCACTAAACGTGTTTGTGTTTTTTATGATGTGGCTAATCTGTGTAAGTAGAACATTTTCTAACAGAAAATAGAAAACTAAAAGAATAAGGAATCAATAAAATATGTGTCACGTTGTTTAAATTTTGTAGATATATTTTTTCTAAATTTTAAGAAGTAATTTTAAACTTTTTTTTTCATTTTGCAGGTAGTAGATGCTCGATTGGTGTCAGTTTTTGATGCAAGAGAACTTGAACTTGTCATTGCAGGAACAGCTGAGATTGATCTAGGGGACTGGAGAACCAACACAGAATACAGAGGAGGTACAAAAGGATTTAATTAATTTTCTCCATTTCATAATAAAGGAATGAATCTGGCCCTGGCCATGCTGCTTTGCTTTTTGTATTCCTTTCCCTGCAGCTGTTTGTATGATTTCCTCAGAGTCAAAAAAATAACATTAGATTTTATAGACCTTATTATAAAATACCTAAGAGAGGCCCTGTGTCAACATCAAAGATTGTGGATTGAGCTAAAGCAGTGAGCTATGGTTTGTTCTAAGGTTTTGTAGTTTTTATATTTTTTTGTAGCACATATCTGTGCCAGAACTCTTTAATTTAAGGGGTCCCCAAGATACCTTTGTACGTACTCAATGGGTAAAGATCCACTGATTGTAGTTGAAGGTTCTCCTAGATCAAAAATGACTAAATATGGCATCGTAGATGAAATATGACATTATAGATATTAGATTAAATACAGAAAACATATCAATATCACACTAATGCAATAAAAGCATTGCAAAATTTAGTTTTACTTTGTAATCTGTCATTCTTCTTAGGTTACCATGACAGCCACATTGTAGTCCGCTGGTTTTGGACTGCAGTTGAAAGGTTTAATAATGAGCAGCGTCTTCGTTTGTTACAGGTAAGAGTATCTATAAAATTGTCTTTATGCATGTTACATGTTGTGATGGAGCTACCGTACTCTGATCAAGTACCGCCGCCAAATCCCCTTCCGCTCTGCCACAGTGGACTCTGGAACACTTCAGACCCTGACCAAGTTGCAGAAGCTTGACTCGTGTCTCTCTGGAACTCTTCCACTGGACTAGGCTGGAGCTCTCTCCTTCTAGGTAGGTATCGTCCCCTCTGCCTGTGCCTTATCAACTCCTCTTTTCAGGCACATTTCCACACCTCTGCCTACACTGTGACCATCTACTTATGTTACAAAGGCACTTGTGGCTCTGAGGCCTAGCTTTTGGTTAATTTCTCCCAAGAATCAGGGTACAAATCAACCAGCCAACAGGTCTGGGATCCCTGGATAAAACAACCAGGACACACAGTTCCCAGCTGAACTAACATACAGTTGCAAGAAAAAGTATGTGAACCCTTTGGAATGATATGGATTTCTGCACAAATTGGTCATAAAATGTGATCTGATCATCATCTAAACCGTA